TGGCCAGGACTCTTTACTTCTCTCTGTACCACGTAAAAAGCATAAAAACATCATAAGAAAAATTCTGCAAGTACCAAGAAATACATGCATGTCTTAGTTAAAATAGGTGTTCTAAATAGCAGCAAGAATTATATTAAAATAACAAGAAAACCAACCAACAAAAAATGCTCTCAACAAGACTTTCACATAGCAATGTCTATGAAGACAAGTATCTCAAGGAATTTGCTATGCACTACTCAATTGATTCTGTCTAATTATCACAGAATTACATGCTTGTGCTTAAGTCTATTACGGCTATTACACAGCCACAGTGGAGAGGCATTTATCCTCAACAATTATGCTTAAAATGGGGAAGAAAGCCAAGTTCCAGTACTCAAAGGTTTCTTGAGTGCTAAAAATGCAAACAATGACCTCGTCGCATTTTCAAAATTACCAAACTGCATTTTATGTACCTCGTAGTTGTAGAAAATTAATCCTCCATCGAATATCACATTGTATATCACCAACAATCTCACCTTAGGCTTATTGAAACTCAGTTTTTTGCCCTCTTTTTTTTTTTTTTGACTGGTACTCTAACATTCCCTGCTTCAGAATATTTTTCACCTCAAAATTTTGTTTCAGCAATGTAAAACAGCTAGTGAACCAAAGAACTTGAGGCTAAACACTCATATTTGCCTGTACCATATTAGAGAGTATAATAGCAGGACTTCCACTACGTGCCTGTTAACCCCTGTATTAGAAGAGGAATAACAGACTTTTTAAATCGGTAGGCTTGTGCAGGAAATGAAGGTGACAGGAGAACCTGCACTTCGCTCTCCAAAGGCACCCACTGCTGCCACCTCCAGACAAAACAGATTCACAGCTCCTGCCTAATACTAAAAAATGTATTCTTTTACCACAGTACAGCAATAGTAGTAATAAGCATTCCCTGGGGAACAAGTCTACAGTTCCCCAAACAACACTTAATTAAAAAAAAAAAAAAGTCTTGTGATGTTAAAAAAAACTGGCACCTTGCTATTTCTGAGTTATCAGTGACATGTAAATCTTCAGGTAAATAATTTCAGAAATCTTCTCTAAAATTTTGCAGTTTTCTTAGAAATAGGAAACTGCTGAAATATACAGCGTACCTTTGCTTAGGTAGTACCTTCTTCTAATGACACAGCAACTGAACTTCACCTAAGGACTGTGAATGAGTTTAACATACCACCAATAGCTATATACATGTGTGCTACAAAATCAGCGTCACAGGGTAGTTCATGATTAGGTAAGTTCAGGTCTAGTCACAGTTTCTTATAAAACACTATACGGGAAAATGATATGGCAAGAGACTGGAATATTGTCTATAGGGGGAGTATAAGTGGTGTACAAGGGGTCTCTTGCTTGCTTCAGCAGCATATCTGCACACAAAAAAGGCTTCTTTTCTTTGACTCGAGACATCCTTTCTGTCGTCTGTAGTTCATGCTTTGGTGAGTTTGGAAATAAAAAACAAATGTAATGGGTTTATATATAAAATAAGTAAAGTTCTGGTTTATCAGATAAATCAAAGAAATTGGCTTGAAGGCCTCAATATAGGGGCGGCCAGCATCAGTACAGTGGCACAGTTTCTCTCTGTGGCTTTGTGATGCCTGGCAATTAACAGTAATTGAAGTCCGTGTCCAGGAGTACATTTGTTTAATTGCTGCATAGCATGGGCCCGCACAATGTGCTGGCAGCAAGGCTCTTGTGTGTCACAAAGCAAACTGCTTGGCTGAACGGGTGACCGCAAGGAGATGCCTACTGCTCGTGTAGCCGAAGGGTTAGCTAGCACCGCAAGTGTGCTAACAGTAGCTAAATCGGCATCCGTGAAACAGCCTAAAGGCAAGCACGCTGTCGGCCACCAGACTTTGAAGACGCCCCGCTGCTGTCTGACCAGGCAGCTGAAAGGCACCGCTTGTCCTCCGACCGTGGAGGCCAGCTGAAAATGTGGAGTTGTGTGTCGATGCTAGCGAGTGCGGCGTGGCAAGGGAGGTGGCAGGGCCTCCCTCAGAGCTGCCTCCGCGCCTCGAGCCATCCTCTGCCTCGCGCTGCCCGGGAAGCCAAACGCGTCAGGGATCTGTGGCAGACTGAGCACCAGAAACGGGGGAAGGAGGCAGGGGGGAACACCAGCTCGTCATACACGGCAGGATGCAGACCTTTGTTAGTGTGTCAAAGTCTTTGATAGCTGACCTCCCAGCGTGTA